CAAAAAGCCCCTCTTGAGCCAAGTGGGGACAAAGTTTTGGTGACACTTTTCATTAAAAAAAATACCAACGTCACTCCAAGCAAGTGAGAGTCACTGATCACTAGCATCACCAGTTCATCACCATTTTGTACCCTGTATTGTGCTCACGCGCCTAAAGGGCGTGTAACCAGAAGAAACGGAGCTGAGTTGGTCGGTTCAGTTCTAAACCAATGGGCTATTATTAACCGCAGTTAATCACTGTACTAACTAGAGTTAGTTTTCCCGGGGTTATGCTAGCTCTTGCTTGGTAGCAGTACTTACCGTTCTGTGCATGAGACTCGTGATATTTTCATTTCTCACGATAATTTTAAAACATCACGAGATGTGGTTAACTAATTAGTCACATCTTAATCAGTGATTAATAAAGTTAAACCCCTTTTTGTAACTTTTTGAGATCCATTTTTTGTTCTGTTTATGTTCTGGAGAGAGAGAACAGAAAGATCAGGTTTTTAAAGAGAGAAGATCAGAGAGATATAATTCCTCGAACCAGAAAGGATTCAGTGGTCCTCTCCGTACCTGATATCTGATTGTTGATTAAATGTTCTTCGTTCCTTTCTCTGGATTTTCTGCATGAGAAATCAACCATACCCACCTTCTACAAATACTTCAAATTTCAGTACAAAGGAGCAGAAAAATTTTTTTCATGGGTATGGTGGAAATCTGGGTCGAAATTCGTCAAATTGGGAAACGAGGAGAAGTTTTTAATGGGTATGGCGAAAAATACTAAATCTGGGAGGAGGAACGGTTTCTATTTTTGGTTTTATTAGTTTTTTTCACTGTAGAATCTGTAAAAAAGACGAAGATTTTGTTCGATTATGGAAGGAGGAAAAGTGAGGAAGCTTTTGGGTGGTGTGTTTTTTTGAAGGGGGCAAAAGAATCTTTTATTTACACTTTGCGGAGGTTGCTTCTTCTTCTTCTTTTGCGGCTAAGAAAAAGGTTAGATTTGATTTTTCTACTTCCATTAACTTTCATCAGTGGTTATTTATTTCTATGAATTTAATGAACTGGGTTCAATTTAGTAGTTCTTTCTAATTCTTGGGTTTTATTTCCTGCAGTAACTCAGGGCTAAGATCTTCCCTTTTCACTAATTCCGTTCCAAATCGACAGATTTTTTTCTTGGGAAACAAACGAAAACCAGCAAATGAAGGAAGCAGAGAAGAACTTGGATCCACAGCTATGGCACGCTTGTGCTGGATCGATGGTTCAAATCCCACCGGTGAACTCTAAAGTCTTCTACTTTCCTCAGGGGGATGCAGAGCACTGCCTCTCCACCGTGGATTTTTCATCTTCCCCGCCAATCCCTGCTCTCATTCTCTGCAGGGTGGCTGCCGTTAAGTTCTTGGCCGATACTGAGACGGATGAAGTATATGCCAAGATCATGCTGGTGCCATTACCGTGCAGTGAGCTTGATCTCGAAGATGATGTCGCTTTGGGTTCCAGTAATGGGTCGGATAATGCTGAAAAGCCTGCTTCTTTTGCGAAGACACTGACCCAGTCTGATGCGAACAATGGCGGTGGTTTTTCCGTCCCCAGATATTGCGCGGAAACGATATTTCCGAGGTTGGATTACACTGCGGACCCTCCGGTTCAGACAGTTATTGCAAAGGATGTTCATGGCGAAATTTGGAAGTTCAGGCATATCTACAGGGGGACGCCAAGGCGGCATCTTTTGACGACGGGGTGGAGTACTTTTGTGAACCAGAAGAAGCTTGTCGCTGGAGACTCGATTGTGTTCTTGAGAGCTGAAAACGGCGAACTTTGTGTTGGGATTCGAAGAACAAAGCGTGGGAATGGAAATGGGCCAGAGTATGGAACTCCCGGCTGGAATTCCGGCCATGGAAATGGAACTTGTGCTAGTCTGTATGGGGGATTTTCTGCTTTCTTGAGAGAGGAAGAATGCATAATGATGAGAAATGGGAATCTGGGTTCTGGCAGGAACTTGAGGGCGAAGGGGAAAGTGAGGCCAGAGAATGTTCTGGAGGCGGTGGCGCTGGCTACAAAGGGGCAGCGGTTCGAGGTTGTTTATTACCCGAGAGCCTGCACACCAGAGTTCTGCGTCAAGGCCTCTGCTGTGAAGGCGGCAATGAGAATCAATTGGTGCTCCGGGATGAGATTCAAGATGCCATTCGAGACAGAGGATTCCTCGAGGATTAGCTGGTTCATGGGGACTGTATCTTCTGTTCAAGTTGCTGATCCAATACGCTGGCCTAATTCACCCTGGCGACTTCTCCAGGTTCCATATTTCTCCCTCATTTTTAATGGATTAAGCTGTGAGATTTAGATTGTTTCTTTGCTGATATAAATCTGCATTTATGTGAAATCCTTGAATTATTTTCTGTATAAACCATTAAGGATTCGCTTGGCCTTAAAATGAGGTTCTTAGCTTTGGTAATTAATGTGATTTCGTGTAAATCCAGCTAGAGATAAGTTTTTTGGACCTTTCTTTGCAAAAACTTTATGATGAAACTTCCAATGCTCCTTAATTCCAGCAGGCATGAATTTAAGCTAAAGAAAAAGTTTAATCCTTAGTCTGACTAATCAAAATCTGGTATGCATCAAATTATCTCTGCTGTGATTTGGTAGGCCTTACTACCAATAAATGGCTTGACGTAAGTACAGAAAACATATCATATTGCCTTTATTCATCTTAACTGATAGAGTTCAATTCTCCCTGCAGTTCATACGTCATGGTTCTATCTTTCTATCAGTTTTGGTATCATTTACCCTAGATTTTCGAATGTCTAGACTGTTTATGGTGTTTTTGCTGACTTGAGCTGAAGGACAATTGTAATTCTTAGTCAGAAATGAAAAATCAACACGCACTCATTCATATGTCTTTTTAGTTTCCATTTGTTAGTCCTTTTTGCTAATAAATGGCTTGGACTGGGGACCAAAATTTTTATCTCATTGCATTTAATCTTCAGGACAGGAATGGTCCAATTTGCCCCAACGTTATAAAGTGAAATACTTAGTAGTTAGTAATGGACACATATCTGACACAACATTTATATATGTTTGTTTGTACAAATAATGTTATGTGCTGTATAACTCATTAGAATTGCTCAATTTCTGCATACTTGTAACCAACCATCCTTTTTTGAGGTTTAAAAATTCTTTGACTATTAGTATTCATTGAAATTTCTTAGCTTCAATAACTTGTTAGCTACAAAAAAGCTGAGGTTTAGTATTTCTTTTCTTCTTACTTGGTAAAATCATTGCAGGTTACATGGGATGAACCCGATCTGCTACAAAATGTTAAGCGTGTGAGCCCATGGTTGGTTGAATTGGTATCAAATATGCCCATTATCCACTTGTCACCCTTCTCTCCTCCAAGAAAGAAATTGCGGTACCCGCCACACTTGGACTTTCCACTAGACAGCCAATTTCCAACACCGTCATTTGCAGGCAACCCCCTTGAGCCCATCAGTCCCTTGCAATATTTATCTGACAATGCTCCTGCAGGCATACAGGGAGCCAGGCATGATCAATTTGGAATATCTTTATCAGATCTCCGTCTTAACAACAAACTGCAGTCAGGACTGTTTCTGTCCAGTTTCCAGTGGTTTGATCCTCAGTCTCGAATTTCTGAAGGCATTGTGCCAAGTAACGATAACAGCAGTGAAAATTTATCTTGCTTGTTAACAATTGGGAATTCTAGTCAGAAGGAGAAATCTGATAACATGAAAAAACACCAGTTTCTACTTTTTGGGCAACCAATACTAACCGAGCAGCAGATCTCTCGAAGCTGTTCAAGTGAAGCTGTCTCACAGGTTGATGGTAACAGTTCAGCAGCAGTGAATCCAGACAAAACTAAAGATTCTTCTAGCAGTTTGGGATCCTCCCAAGTGCATCAGGTTCTGCCAGAAAAGTCATACAGACCCCAGTTTTTGTGGCACCAGGATTGTTTTACAGCAGAATCTGGCCTGGATACTGGTCATTGCAAAGTATTCATGGAATCAGAGGATGTTGGACGAACACTTGACCTCTCAGTTCTTGGCTCCTATGAAGAGCTGTACAGGAGGTTGGCCAACATGTTTGGACTAGAAAGATCAGAAATGTTGAGCCATGTGCTCTATCGGGATGCAACTGGTGCCGTCAAACAAACTGGAGATGAACCATTCAGGTATGTTTGAGATTTCAAAACTATGAGACTTGCATTTTAGAAGTCCTTGCACTTCTAAATTTCCAACTTAAGTTGCACTCTGCTCCTTAGAGGTCAGATTTACTTGCTCTTTCCTTAATTTACCCGTTTGATATTGCAGTGATTTTATGAAAACGGCTAAAAGATTGACAATAAGGATGGGTTCCAGCAACGAGAGTATTGGAAGGTTTGTTAAATGTGAAAATCCTCCTAAATTTGGCTTCCCTTCTGTTTCCATTAACACCAATCAAGTCATGGATGTTCTAAGCTTGTTGGATTTGCCAACAACTTCTATGTACTAAAATCTTTGATCAATTTTGCAGGTCATCATGGCTCACTGGGATGCGGAACACCGAAAATGGACTGGATGGACCAAACAAGACTGGTCCTCTGAGCATACTAGCTTGATATGGAACAGGACTGATAGTGTTAGTGTTTGAAGAATTTATTGGACAGTAGATGATGAAGACTTTGAGCTATATTGTTATCCAGCACCAGCTACCATGTTTCCTATCCTAGTATATTCATGTGTCTTGCAGGGCCTTACTCATTAGGTTGTGTACAAGAATGGTTAGTGTTTATGAATTATGGTCACTTCAGTGTTTTCCCTTAAGTGCAACTTCACATATTCCTTGTGTTAGAAAATCCAAAATATTAAGTTCTAAAAATAAGTTTGGTTATTGTAACAAGTTGTTTTTGTTAAGGCGACACAATTGATATAGAAAGTGTGTTTAGTATCACACTTTTAGTATTATTAATTTTATCCATTTATAGATTTATTTATTATTATCATCATTTTTTTTTTTACATTTAATGATGGATGCCAATGGTAAATGATATATATTTTATTCCAATTTCCTCCCATATTATAGAAGTTGAACTTGAAATTTTTAACAAAGAAAAAGGGGGGAGAGGAGAGGGAATGGAAAGGTTACTTATTCTTATATTTCTTTTAATTTGATTCGATAATTGTGTATTAATTAAATTTACAGTTCAATCTTAACGTGAGATTTGAACATTATATAAGTGTCTTGTGCGGCCTTAATGAAAAATTTTTATGACAAAAACTATCTCCTGTAAATGTAGTAATTAATGCATTTGATTACACAAACTAGTCTCATAATCTCCACCTAAATGATATCTTTTTAACTAATCTATGGTGCTTACTGCTTGAATTCATACTCCCTTTTTGGCGAACAGCACAACAATGAATGGAGAAAAAATATATATACATATATATATATATACACACATGCCAGCTACGGTGAATAATTAATCAACATTATTGTACATTATTCTAATCTGCTACCAATGCTTTATGCTTGGAAAATTGGGATCCTAATCAAACAGCAAATAGAATACGATTCCATGTGAGTACATTGGGATCTGAAATCCGGAAAACATGAAAAGGACTTGACCATCCCGGCAGTTTGACGCCTAAGCTGGGTCTGGTCTCTTCTGAAATTTTGTGAAATTTTATTTATTTAAGTAATATATGATAGAAGTAAATTTAGAATAAGGGTATTTAATATTTTTAAAAATAAAAAGTGAAATAACTAAAACACCTCTCTATTTATTATATATTATAAAATTATTTGATTAAATTTTATGAAAAAATTAAATTAAGATAATTAAATTTGATAAAAAAAATAAATAATACAACTAAATAAAAACGATAATATTAATTTATTTATCCCCCCTTGAGATAATAAAATTTGTGCTCCCTCCTATATTAATAATTGTTTTTGTTACCATCACACGAAACAATTGTTATTGTGATAATTTGAATGATAATTCTACTTTTTAGTAGTTATTTTTCTTTGCCAATTATCCTTATTTCTTAGTTCATACTCTTTTACAATTGACTTTTCTAACTTGACATAAATTAACAATAATAATATTATAATTACAATATCATATAAAATAACAAAATTATAATTTTAATATTATATTAAATAAATATAATGTATCATTAAATAAATAAATATATAAATATAGTTTTAAATAAAAATAAAGTATATAATAATATATTATATTATTAACTTATAATATTACTACCTAATATTAACATTATATTATTTTTAATTAAAAATGACAATTATTACTATTTGCTAATCAATTTCCGCAGTCAAACTCAAGGTCAAGAGACCTTAAAAAAAGGATTAATGTGTCAAATTGACAAAAAATTTTTCCAGAGAAAAACACCCACACGTGAGGAGTGGGACCCATGTCTCAACCAATAAAATGAATTGCAATGGCTTCACGTGCGGTGCCGTCAACGTCGCCGTTTCGATGGGAGAGCTGGGCGGGCCATTTCTGGTAAATGCCAAACTATTTTTTTCGCGAAGTTTGGTCAAAATGACGAAACTCAAAAGAATTTTTAAAATTAATACAGTAAATATTGAAGCATATGTGAAAAGTATCTTTTCGAGTTTTGAAAAGACACAAATAAAATAGTCCTTATTAATAATAAAGTCATGCAAACAATTTTTTAAACATTATCTTAATTTCTAGAAGGTACAATTTCTAAATTACAATTTTTTTTTGAACCTCCAGAAGTTTTTTCTAAATTACAATTTTAGTATAACAAACTTATGAATTTGATTATCAAAGTTAATTAATTCGGTAAAATTTTAAATTTTTTTTATCAAATTAAAATTAATTACATATATTAATTAAATAAAAAAATAAAATCCATAAAAATTCAAATATATCATTACATATAAAAAATAAATAATCTTATCTCATTATCAATGTTACTGGGTCAAAACGGACTGTTCTCGTAAAATCCCTACTTCACATTTCTACAAAAATTTTATTCAAAGGACAGAGTTGGCATGGATGAGAACCACTAATAATATGATAAGTAAAATTATTCAATTTACTTTCGGCCAAAAAAAAAAAATCAATTTATTAATTTGTGGATACACGTCAGGAGTACCGGCGACAGAGATTTGATGACGTGGCGTCACGGCTCCGTTCGTGCGGTGGCCCCAACGGCGTTTTTATCTGACGGTTGAGATTTGTTTGGCTTGTTTTATTGGACGAAGGAGAAGTTGCGGATTCGGAGGACGCTAATCGGCTCGCGGTCAACAAAAACACAAAAAATCCACGCGGTAAGTTGACTTGTGCCGATAATTTCAACAAATCCGATAAAATGCCGTCAACTTACCATCTCAATTAAACGAGAAACAGATTTATATTTTCACTAAAGAATAGCTCTTTAAATATATATATATAAATAAAACGCTATTGTCACCTCCGAATGGATACTGTCCAGTAGGGTTTGGCAGTAAAAAACAATGACACCCATACAGGTCATGGAAGATGATTTTACTGTTGGATATACTTTTTTTAAGTTAAATAATACATTATATTATTATTTATTGATGAAATTTAAATAATAATAATAATAATAAAATATTTA